TTTGGGGGGGGGGGGGTCGTCCTTAGCTTATTTCGTGTCTCATCATTTTTGATGTTCCTCAAAGTCAGGACCCAGCAAATGACTGTGCTAGTTTTGCGAGGAGAGTTAATGGTTTCTAGAGTGAACTTTGGCCTGGGGTCTCAGTGCCCCTGTTCTAGGGTTTGAGACCGAGGTAGGCACAAAGAAGGAAGAAAATATCTTTGATTCTCAGTAGGGAAAATGGACACTACATGCAGAGCCGAGTCAGTGAGGGCTCAGTGAGCCTGAAGGAAGCTGTGTCTCCTTCCCATCGCCTTCGCCGTGAGGAGGAACCCGAGGGACATCCCTGCGCTTCTTGCCAACTCCATTAACTTTGCAAGTGCAACCGGGCCAGTTGACTGCAGCGCCTCGCTTGCCACCTGCGTTTAGCTTTAGCTGGTTCTCGGAGCGGGACCCGAGATGCCTCTGGCCTTTGCAGAGGTGGCAGTGCCCGCAGAATCAGCGATAGCCAGATCTCGCCCCTGTGCCCTGGCCGGAGTGGGGCGCAGATGTCTCCCAGCTTCTAAAAATCCTTTATTTGGGGTTCATATGATGAGGCTAGAAGGCCGGTTGAGGTCCCTCTCCCTCATTTCTGTGGCACCTTGATTGCCTGCTGGGGCTCAGATTTCCTGGAGGTCTGGGTGAGGACTGGCTCTGGTGCTTGGGCATCCGCCCAGGACAAGTAAGTGGCAAATGTTGACTCCAAAGAGCACGGTGCCAACCACCCCATCTCTCTCAATTTGGCAGTTTATAACAGTTTCATTGTTGCATACTCTTTTTTTGGCTGCATACTTTCTTACTCATACCCTCCCTGCCTCCTTGGCCACCCCCACCCCCTTCCCTCACAAGCCCATGCTCCCATCCAACTTTCCCCCTTCTCTCTTCTTGGCCCTTTTGGCCTCTGGGTGGGTTGTAGGGAATGTCATTCTCTTTCAATCTTTGCTTGTTCTTTGGCATTTATTTTGGGTGAATATTGAGAAAACTTTCAATTAGTTATCTAGTCTGCATTCTGTCTTTGATACAAAGTCACTTCACCTACCACACTGCTAATCTTTCCAAGATACTGTATCTACTGGCCTCGTAGAACCAGCTTTGCCAGGAATGACAAACTTAGTTGGAAAATTTATTTGGTAGAACTGAAATGAGTTTTTGCTCTTTCCCATTCACCGTAGCCCTTTCTAAGTCCTGTCTTTCAAAATGAAGGTTTCTCACTGGTTGTAAATTTGTAGCCTCCTGTGTCGTGTGGGTTCCTTTCCCCTTAGTCACAGCATAGGGGAAAGATGTGAAGTTGAGGGAAGAGAGGCTGTGTTCTTGGGTGAAAGCATACCTGAATGACATGGTTGCCAATACAATAACTGATTTGTTTTCTTGCCTTGAGTCAGAATGTTTATATTTTCATTTTATGTTCTAGATTGTTATGTCATTTAATAAAGTTTATATTTATTAAACATTTTTATATTAAAGTTGTTGGCAGGTGATGAATCTGTTCCTGGTCTTAGAAAGCATAGCTTTATTTTTAATTTAGAGGTCTGCATGTAATGTTAATGTTGTGAAACTTTGGGCTTTGCTTGTCTGGTATGCTTTATTGGCATGTTTTATTCTGCATGGGTAAGTGAATAGTATTTTAAACTTTCTTTTAAGTTGATATTTTAAAACCTGAAAATTTCAGACCTAAATAGATTGAAAAATTTCCAGTACTATCTTCTGGTAAATGTATCATCCAGAAAAGGGACTAGATAAATGCTTTTATTTAACCAGATGTATTTTACATGTATAAGACTTTTCATAAAAATTTTAAATCATAGAGGAGATGATTACTATTAGCAAAACTATGAAATGCTTTTTATTGTGCTTTACATTGAAAAGCCTGCTGTTTGTAAAATACTCAGTATTATCAGTACTCTTAAAAATTGTTTTATCTATAACCACCTACTCTATGTAGTCAATTCATCATTTTGGCTTTGTTTTTGGGCAAGATAAGGAGTTCTAAAAAGGAGTTGTTTAGTTCTACTAAACAACTATAATGGGAATGCTATAATAGCATGCATACAACATTAGGTAATTTCTCTCTGGCTTTTTCTTTCATTCAAAGAAAATCCCACCATCTAATTCTTGTCTTTTGTGTTGTTTAGCTCCTTTAACAGTCACCAGAGGAGGGTGCTACTGTTTGATTTTGGTAGAGATTATAGTTACCTTCTTTCAGAAAAGAGAAGGCTTTTCTGAACTCTCTACTGTTTATATATAAGCTGTCTGTAGAGTGTTGCAGAAGATAACTGAGGAGCTGAATTTTATTTCTAATAATTCAAACTAATAAGGCCCTAAAAACACCAGGGCCCATCTGAAATGGTAGTGCTTTTTAGATCTAGAAGGGACCTAAACCACCTTGTGTGACCATTTCATTCCATTTTTAGATGAGATGTTTGTTGATGGCTCAAGAAGTTGTGACTGTCCTAAGGCTGCATGGCTAGTTCAAGGCCTTCAGTTTGGTGATTTTTATATTAAACCACTGCACAAATCAGTATGCCCAGAAAGGCGGAGAGCACACTAGGGATACAAAAGTGAGTGAGACATGACTCTCATCCTCAGAAAGTTTCAGTGTAGTGCCAGAGATGGACCCGTGTGCCAAAAATTACAGTCATGGTATATATAGGGGGATAGGGAAACACTGAGGAGGGGCATTTAAATCAGGCTGGGAGGTGGGAGGCCTGGGAAAGACACTTTGAAGGCATCATTTACCGCAAGGTTAAAAGCATAGGTTTTGGCTTGACATCTAGCTTTGAATCTCTGCTCTGCCTTATAGTAGCTGTGACCATTAGCAAGGAGCACTTTACCTGGGACTTTTAATTTATTTTATTTTATTTTTTTAAGTTTTATTATTGTTTAAAATATTACAGATGTCCCTGTTTCTCCCCAATGACCCGTTCGTTCCTCCCCGTTCCTTCCCCCTCCCAGTCCCTCTCCCCACCATTGTCCATGTCCTTGGGTTGTGTATATATGCACATAAATTCTTTGGTTACTGTCTCTACCTGGGACTTTTTAATCTGAAAACGAGTAACAGTGCATGTAAGCTGTACCCTCATCTGCTGCATTATCCTCTATCTAGAGGAACACCCATGGAGAGAGGGCTATGGAAGAAGAAAGCTCAGAGACCAAGAAGCCTGCAGTGTTAGGGCAACAACATGCAAGGAGAGAGGCCATACACATGAAAGCTACAACACTGATCACTAGAAAGGTGTATGTTGGATGTGGATCATTCATTAGGTGCCCCCCGAACTCTACGTCTCTTTGTTCTGACTTCTGGTGAACTGACTGTTCAATCAGGATTCCAGGCATCCTTGCATTGGGAGAGCAGCACCCTGGCTTCAGGGGCAAATTTTCTGATTAGCGAAAAAGAATATTCTCTATGATTAATTAATACATTGGTATTCTGATTTGTACTTCAGGTTCTTATGAGTTGGGTTAATGTGCATTAGTTCTCTTGAGTCTATTTAACTGTATATTTTTGGCAAAGAAAAGATATCTTTTGGCCTCGTTGTGCCAAGGACCAGGCTCTGGCTGGCTGTGACTTCTAGATGGATGAGATCCTAAAAAGTCTTGTTTTGATGGTCCTATAGGCCGGCTTCCTCACTTGATGCCCTTGGGCCCTTGAGACATTCTAAACACCAATACTATGGGTAGATGGTTGACGTGTGTGCGTGTGTGTCTGTCTGTCTGTCTAAAGCTATGGCAGTTATGGTTTTGCTGTATAACAAAAGATTAAAACAACAAAGAGGTAGAAAAATAGCTCACATTGTATCAAGTGATGTGGAAAGTCTTTTAAAAATTAAAACAATGTTTATCTATGAAAAAATTTTTGTGCTTACCTATAATTTTTATTCACAAGTAAAGGTAGGTTTTTGTTTTGTTTTTGCTTTTATATTATCTAAAGAAATATTACCAATTCTTTGAAGCAACTTTGTCAGTGTTCATGGCTGAACCCTATCTGGAAGAACAGATTGTTATGTATTCCATTATGCGTATAGGTATTACTATATTAAAAGTCATATGTTATTGTATCATACAGTTGACAGACTTCTTGGCCAGTGGTTAAGCTCGGAGTTCCACGATTCACATCAGAGAGAAGCTGTACTTCAGATGCTTGTCAGGGGCTGCAGTGTTGAGGCTCAGCACTTTGCAGAAGCTCAGAAGAGAAATTGCTTGTGAAAGGTTGCCTGAAGGATCTGTATAGTCTAGTTCTTTAGATCGGTGGTTCTTAACTTTTCTGGAGTCGTGCTTCCTTTGAGGATGCTGTGAAACTATAGACATATCCCCCAGAAAAAAGGACATGTGCATCAAGTTTTGTTTATAATTTGAAAGATAAGTGGGTGCATGAAGCCTCTGGATTTTAGGTTAGTCAAGATAGAATAAAATCTGCTTCTGATAAATATAGACCTACGGGGAGCTGTGCACTTGGACCCCCTCGCCCCAGTCGCCTTCCTCTCCCATCATTTGCATATATCGACTGTGTGCTGTCCTTGGCCTGTGAGGGTTGGGATGAGAGGTGGTCTTCCAAATCTCTCTGACAAATCAACTGCAAGGATGTGGTTGAGGACTTTTTTGTTAGGTTCTATATTCTCTTTATGAGGACCAAGGGAGAGAGAGTTCTCTGATAGCTTTTTGTTTTTATCTTAAGGATGCTGAATCATGTTACTGATTGGATCATTTTGTGTTTGTTGGCTGCTTGAAGTGTTAGAACCAAACCTCT